AAAGATCTTTGGATTCCATTCAGGAAGTCGAAATCAAGCACACATTGACCACTTTGCTTAAATCAATAAACCACTACCTTAAGATTCCAAAGTGCTGTCTGACATTTTTGACCGTTTTGGATGACTAAGACCGTGAGGTCAGAATCCAAATGTTCTATCTGCTCTATCAAAATCGTAAGATTATTCGGAGTCGTTATAAAGATATGCAAAGAATTGTATTCGAAAAAAGGCGGACCTGTTGTGAAACTCAACATTTTTTACGTTAAATTTCTCATAACTAGGTACAAAGCAGATAGAACTTTGTAATTTTAAGGCAGCGAAACGTCTTACCTGATATTCCCGGGATCTCAAGTTAACCGAGGATCAGTCCACGAAATGTTCAGGACTACTGAGGCCTCCAGACGCTAGTGTTTTGAGTCCAGGTTCACAATGTTTAACAAACCAAAAGACATGTTAAGTAAAATTGTTTGATTCCTCACGACTAAAGGTCTCGACCCAGAACTATAATTAGTGAAAGGTTCTTTAAGGAGATCATCATCTGTAGACTGACACGCAGCTCCAAGTACGCGACCACTCAGAGTCATGTGAAGCAGAACAAGGAAAACAGCTACAGTGTCTTTGATTTTCATTCTAAGCCACTTACAAACCAAACTTCCCGTGCAAGTCGTAAAAGATGGTCAAAACCATCCTGTTTCAAAAGAATTTTTTAAATGCAAATGTTATGGGTTCTTGCAGTTCCTATGACTAGGTCTTAAAAATTGCTCAAGCAGATTTTTACCACACATAATTATATGATTATATCATACAAAGTATTTATATTCAGGGCGCTTTTTTTTAAAGATTGAACGAGTCGAACAAAATTGAGAATATTCTTTTTAATGAGTTACATGCAGGATTTGGCAAAGTTAAGTTTATATACGTATGTTTATAATGGAATGGCATCTCCTTCCAGTTACATAGCACAAGGATGGATCTGTCTAGGCCATTTTTCGGTATAGTACTGACTCAAATAAACAAAATCTTCTTTTGGAAACCTCCAAGAAGGGGTTGTCACGGAACAGAGTCTGAGCTCCGATAAATAAAGAATGATACTTTTAAAATACATCAGGTTCTTTAATTTTTTGTACCGTTTGTAATCGAATGTGCTTATGCGCTGAAAGCGTGACTTTCAATACGTGACCAGAAAAATGCCAGGAGAGAGAAAGGTTTGCTTAACAATTCACAGTACATTTATTTGAAAGGACTTGAAGTGGTCTCCATAAGGAAGCTTTTTTGTGCGTCAGTTACAACGCTTATTGTAAAATACATTCTTATTGTGCCTGTTGGCTCCGTGACATACCAATAGCTAACCTTTGTAGAGATTTTAGAAGCGATGGCTTTTCTGATTTGTCAGACACAGTCTTTAAAAAAAATTAATAGGCCAGTTTTGTTTTTGTGCGTCCGCTTGGTGGTGCGACACGCGTAACTAACAGCGGAGATAACTCAAGATCTGATGTGCGTGATGAGGAAAGTTAGGGGCGGTATACTTTGCATTCAGTTATAGAAGTGATGATAATGATAATGTTCACTGGTCTTCTGAAGCACTTTGATCTCTTTTGACGACAGGAGTTTGGTGAACACCGATTAATGCCGCTTTGCTCTTGCTGTTTGATATGATGATGGCGGAGAGACTGATGGTCAGTGATTTATGGAATTTGTAAGGGACAGCACAGCAGCAGGGATAACAGTTTAAATTTGCTGGTTTTGTTTGAAGTATGAACATTAAATTGGCAAGTCTAATTTTGTCACCCGACCACCCAGAATGGGACAAAGAGGTTTTGTATTGTCCAGTTGGGCAAATGTATGTCGTATTGTCCAGTGTGATGGCAAAAGATTGTTGTGCTTTCCGGTGTGACACAAGAATGTCGTATTCTACGGCGTGATAAAACAATATCGTGTTGTCCAGTGGACTGACAAAAGAATGTCATATTGTCTAGTGTGACAAAGAAATTTCGTACCTTAAATCTATGACGTAATCAAGTCACAGCTTCACTGATGTATGATTTATAATGCAAATGTACATGAGAATCTGAGCCAAAACGACTTTTAAAAAAAAAGATTCGATTTACATGAAATGTCCTTACCATTTTTATCTCAGTTTTATATTGACATCTCGGTGTTCTCTAATACATCCAAACACTACTGAGACGGACAATTAGAAAATTTTTTTATCTTTAAATGTCTTTTTCCCTCCTTATCGTGACAATAGATGATTTTGTTTGATATTATGTTTCATTTCAGCACAGATTCAAATTGTACTCGTTAATTACGATTTCTAAAAATTAACTTGAAACGACAGAAATAAAGCTTCTTGGGAGACATTGAGAAATCCATGTAGGGAAAAGAAACCAAATGAGGTAGTGCCGACAGAGAACACTTGGGTAAACCTAAAAGCCTTGAGTATCTTGCTCTCACTAGAAAAATAGAACTCAAGAGAGAGAGAGAGAGAGAGAGAGAGAGAGAGAGAGAGAGAGAGAGAGAGAAATTGACTGATAGAACTTGAATAAATGGATGATTGGGAAGGATCAGGAAGATGTATGTTTTAAAGGCATACCAGTAGAGAAGTGAAAGGTTACACATAATTGCCGAAGTTTGATTCAGATCAGACACTTGATGGTGAAATGTTATGTTTGTCAAGTGGTTCGTAAGTTCTGAGCGCTTTCACTTAGCGATTTGTTCTTAGTAACTCCCAAGAACTTAAAAATGGTATAAAATCACGACCCAGTAAATGGCAACGTTCTTTCCATTGTAAGTGGCTGAAAAGGGTAGACTAGGGCTTTCTTGTACAATACAGGCACGTTCATAAAAACAAGTTCTGGAGAATCACAGAAAAGGTTCAGAGGAATGTTTGAAGTGCTCATGGTCTCTTTTCAGCAAACAAAGCTTGCTTGTTCCAGACAGAGATGTGAGCAAATTGGACTTGATATCGGACGTTTTGAAGAGCACGCTTTTGAGAGAGAAGGATAAACACTAAGTCTGATTGGAGTGGTATTTTTCTAATAAATCTCTGACAACTCGCCGAAGGAAAGTCTTGCTGTTACTAATGTAAAACGGCATAAAGTCTTATCGTTGTCCCAAAGCATCAGCAACACCATTACCACCACCACAACCACCACCAGCAACACCACCACTACCATCTCCCCAGGTCAATAGTGACCTCAGCTATAAGCAGGAATATTACCATAACCGCTACAAAAACCAGCAACGACACAACAACAACAACAACAACAGCAACAACAACAACAACAACAACAACGACGACGACGACGACGACGACACAGAACCTAGACCTAGCAGGTAGAACGCATTTTCGAATTGGAAAGGATTGCCCTTCTATAATTTGTTTACTTTTTTCTGTCCGGGGTTTAAATGGGACAAAAACTAATCACTCTGTGATCTCTCCCAAAGTCTTTGCTTGCGGATCTAAAAGTGGGATGACTAACACAATCTAAAAGCCCATTAACAAAGGCCACTGTAAACTGAGGTTCCGACATGCTCTTTTCTGGTGTTTGCTTTTAGTGGATAAAATATATTATAGGGGATTTACAGCATACACTTAAAACATTAAAAATGATAAAATATAGTTTTATCAACACCACACTTTTGCGCATGCCTATGTGGATTCATTCATTGGCTAAGGCTATTTGGTTGGACTACAATAAATAGAAGTGAATAAATTTCCATATTTATAACAACACAGTAATTCTTATTTGTAGTCGCACAGCATAATTGCTCTTTGTGGCTTGATTTTCTCGAGTTACTGTTCGCCCTTAATGTGAAGGGGTTAAACACCACGCAACAGAGGAATGAATACTATTCGATACAAACGTAGTGATGTCTAGATGGTTTTGTGGCAACAACAAAAAAAACCAACTTACTGTTACACTGTACTTTGGGGGCTGACTGGTGTCGTAAAGAAAAATTTATAGACTATGTTACTGTAAATCAACTATGGTAGAGATCTTGTGTATGCACCCAAAAAGCAATGCATAATGTAGGGCCCAAATAAAGAAATGTTTCTTCATTCCTGGATCAAGATCACAAAAAGAATGTTTGCTCGCTGGCCTACGAGACGACCATGCAAAATTACCTCTGAGCATTGTCAAATAAATAAATTAGCGAAAGTTTCTGTAACGCGGCAGGCGAACGTGAACAAGCTGTTGTGGCAAAAGCTGTAAATATCGGTCGCATCCCATATCCATAGGAAGACAAAAGAAGATACCGAAAAGAAGGAAAGACAACAAAGAAAACACAACCTGTCGGTGTCCGTCAGGGCAGGGAAGCTTGTGCGCGTTTATAATATTTCAGAAAGCTCTGACATCCACTACATGTTTGCCACCCCCCCCCCCCACACACACACCTCCTTCTACCCCTCACTACCCCCCCCCCCTCCTTCCTCCCCGCACTATCTCCCCTTACTATTCCCCTACCACCCCTTTGCCACCCTGCGCGCCATTCACCTGACTCCCCCCCCCCCTTTCAACCCCTTTGGCTCTTCCCTTTCCTCTACCCCAGCGATATTGACCCCCGTAGCATAGTCTAAGACTAACCAACATCCACACATCAAGCACTGTGACATAAACGTTTTCTGCATTTCACTGGCAAAGAAAAACACACGAAAGTCGTCCGTTCATTTGCTATCGCTCATTTTTTAATTTATTTGTTTTCAAACTCAAACAAATGTTAAGTCAGATTTTTGTGAAGCACACACTTATACATGTATCACTCATAAACAACGATCTATACAGCAGAGATAGCTTTTATGACTATCGTGTACTTTTGTTTTGTTATCCAAAAGTCACATATATCTCAATTCGAATTCGTAAAAAAAAATAGGACACAAGGTTTATTGAAAACCACATTGGAAACCAAAGACATTGGTTATACGTTCTACAGTACAGAATAAATGACATTTCACAACCCACAATGACATCTTGCAACTGAAAAATAACCACCCTTGCTCATTTCTTTTTACAGGAAAGTAAGTTTTGCATTGTCTCTTTATACTTCGAACTCATGGTGTAATAGACAAAGATGTTTACAGCAGAATTGAGACCCCCCAACGCGAACGCAATGGACCAGCTGAGAAAGAACATATTTGCGTAGACCCCCAACACACTGAACTCAGGTTCGAAAACCATGAATACCGTGGTCACAATACCCGGCACGTTGCAAGCGATGAAGATGGTGGAAATCAAAGTAACCATTTTAATCACTTTCTTCTCTTTTACGGAAGTGTCCGAGCCACCTGCAAACTGGCTGGTCGCTTTCTGGCGCCATTTTGTTTTGCTGTTGAGCTTTACGATAAGGATGACAGTACATATAATGACGACGAGGAAAGATCCGAAGGGCATGAGGACGCTACTTATTGAGAAAATAATGCCTTCCACGATGGCTCTGTCAGACCTGAAGCCCAGCTGCAGAACGGTATGGTTCTTTTCCGGGTCAAAGGTCCAAATAAGTATGTTGACGTAATAGAACGGTAAGGATACAACGACCATGATGGCGAAGATACCGACGATAATGCCTTTAGTTCTGCTGTGTGTGATGATTGTCTTCACCTTGAGGGGGATGGCGATGCACAGGCACCTCTCTACCGCTATAAACGTTGTGATTAGGCTAGTCACCCTGCGAGGAAAAAAGAGGAAAAAGGTTTTAAGTATGCCTGTTTCTACATCGCGTACGAGACTTTCTCGTCGTCTCCGATATAAGCTGTGTCCTTTTTGCTACACACCACCATAAACACTACCACCACCGACAACAACAGCTTTTAATTTGGATTTAGTAAATGTATTACGGTACTTTCAACACAATTAAGTCGTAGAAGTGCAGAACAACACCAGCAAGAGCAACAACAACAACTACTACAGCAACGACACCAGCAACAGGAATTATAGCAATAACATCGGGAACGACAATAATAACGATATCAGAAAAGCTGACAAGCAAAGAGCAACAACATTATGATAACAGTAAACAAGAATACTAATACCAATACGACGACCAATTCTTGCTCCATCATTGACAACACAGCAAAACAAAAACAACAATAGTAACAGGAACAGCAACAGCAATACCAGCAACAATAGCAGATAAAACGACACCAAACGCAGCAGAAGCAGCAGAAGCACCAGATGAACATAGAGGCAGCAGCAGAAACAGCATCGGCATCATCGTCATCAACATCAGTAAAAATAACAATAACAACAAAAACAACAACAACAATAACAACAACAACAACAAAAACAACAACAACAACAACAACAACAACAACAACAACAACACAATATCTCTCAAAGCGTGCTCTCTTGTGCAAAAGGAATCATATTAATTAACACAGGGTATTCGTCAAGCCGTATGATCAAACGAAACGTTCAAACACTTGTTGTCAGAAAAAATGCAAAAAGTGTGTTGATGGGAAGAACAGCCTCTAAATAATCGGTATCAACTTTAACTGCCTTGAGTAGTCTCCTACGCATTTATTTGCTTAGGCGTTACGGTTTCCTTCTAGTCTTGGGCCTGTTGCCTGTTGGCCATTTTTGTCAAACGAAATTTGAGCCAAATCACGGACCAAAACAGAAGGGTTGGCGGGAGGGAGAGGAGGGACCGTGTGGGGGAGACATGTGACCTTGACTTTAGCATGGCTGGTGTTTTGCCCTTCGTTTAGGCCGTGATGGCGCGTAGGCAAACTTCACAACGAAGTTTTCAAATAGGAACCCAAAAGGTGCAGCCAGGGCAGTGTGCTATCTTGTTGCACAAACCTGATGAATATGTACCTGTAGCTCTATAAGACTTTTAGACGTCTATAAGCTGATCGGGCGATGGACAACGTTGCTGTTAAATAACTTCATATACATACCATCTACTAGACCTGTATGAAACTGGACTACCAGGCGCATTCTTTATACATATTCTAGTGGCGTCCCCCCCCCCCCTAAAAAAACCCCGAAAACAAACCCCAATCCAACTTGAAATTACACACACCCAATTATCGACTTTAAGCCTTGCACTATCATTGTGTGCAGCATGAAAATTAAAGCTAAATGAATTCTGTATTATCTCGACAATTTAATATCTAATCTACGATATTAGTCGCCCGAGATAACATGGTCATTCAAAATTAACCTTTAAAAAAATCAGACTTTGCCAAATTGTGTGAAATCATAGAAAGAAGAGTTTTATCGCTCGTTTTGGGGTGAATAAATATTTGTGAAATGAATATGTATTGAATATCAAATGATTGAAGAATATTTTTGTCTGTACAATGAACAATATCTTATTACAATAGTTTCAAACAGATTGGAAAACAGAGCAGTCACAAATATCACTCAAAACTTGGAGAAATGCGTGATTGTTCATTGGGACTACGTTGAGGAATAAAGGGAATGTTTAGCCAACTAATTGTGTACGTTGTTTCTCAACCAAGACAAAACTCTTCATTTTACAGTATTTTTCTTGATATTTCTGGGACAGCCCTCGCACCTCCCACCAGTGTGCGACTGTAGATTGGGCCAACGTCTACATCCTCACCCCCCCATCCTCACCCCTTCCTTTTCATTTGGGGTTGAAAGTTTGATTCTGTAAAGTACACACTTGCCCACGTCTGAGCTGACGGTCAGTGGCATGAGCCTTTCTACAGGCAAAACGCGCTAATAATAATAATAATAATAATAATAATAATAATAATAATAATAATAATAATAATAATAATAATAATAATAATAATAATAATAATAATAATAATAATAATAATAATAATATCGTATATCACTTACATGGCGCGCACTCCTGAGTGCGTACAGCTCAAGGCGCTTTACTTAAATCCAAGTGTAAATTCATAAATGAACACATACCTGGTCATGCATACGTGAGGCCATCCGTCGAAGAAATAGATGAGATCCTGCAAGTTGAACCAGACGGCAGTTTTGATGAGGTACGGGTTGTAGCCAATGCTCATGCCTAGAAGAGTCAGGAGACAGCCCAGGTCTGCAATCGCCAGACCTGCAAATAATGATATGGAAGCAATATGTTGTTGCTTCTTTCATTACTGTCGTTGTTGGTTGTCTTTCTGCCAAAGATGTTGTTATTGTTGCAATTGCTTTTGTTGGTGGTGGTGGTGGGTATTAGGCTTCTGTGGTTATGGTTATTGCTTTTGCTGTTGCTGTTGTTGCTCTGGCTGTTGTTACTGTTGCTGTTGCTACTGCTGTTGTTGTTACGGTTGCTGTTGCTGTTATGGTTGCTGCTATTGTTGCTATTGATGTGAGTGTTGTTGTTGCTATCGCTGCTTATGAACACATCGTGGTTACCTGGAAAGACAAGTTTATCAAAAGTTAACACTCCTTATACTGTTTTTTACATGTAGGTGCTTTACGCTCCCATCCACAAAATGTATATCATTTAAGAGGCAGGCTTCGACCAGTCTATCAGGGCCAAACTAGGTGAGAGGGATACAATGTTTCAGCAGATTGACTGAGGTACTCCATAAAATGCTCTTCAACTGGGAATCGAGCTCAGGTCTGAGGGTGACGGCGAAGCGCCTGACCGCTAAACCACAGACGTCAGTGTTCTTGCTGTGAAAAAGTGGTCTTGTCAAAAACTGAAAACTGGAAAAGTACAAAGTTTGGTTTACAGGAACGTCGTTAGGGAATACTGACAAGTTTGAAAATGTACAAACCCCATTTTAAAACCTTCAAAGCACCTGTTCCTAACCTATATCCGAGTCGCATCTCCAAAACATTCCTAAAACTTATCTCCGTAAACCTATTTTCACAACTAAAGTTTGTTAAGTACAAGACAGAAACGACAAGGTAGCTTTGTGTTAATCATTGCTCTATTGCCTATCATCACGTCTCCACAAAACAATCACTCCATTTCTTATTTTCTCAATGGGTACTCTCAGTATGGCTACTTTAACCCCCCCCCCCCCTCACATTCCGCCACTTCCTCCAACCTCCCTAATATGTCATCAACGCGAAAGATTTTTGTCCCATAATAATATTTATGTAAGTGAACCGTTGGACATAGTCCATGGCTCAAGAAGAAGAATTCTTGTACTCTCTTACCCAGCAGGTTAATGTTCATCGTGTCTTTGAAGCCTTGGCGGATGAAGACGATGATGTTGAGGACGTTTGTGCCGATACCAAAGAGGCTGACCGCACCACAAAAGACGGAGAAGATAGCCAGTTGAAGCGTTTGCCTCATTTCATCGCTGACTAGCTGTCTGTTGGGGGCCGGGGCTTCTGTCACCAGAATCGCGTGGTCTGTGTCCAGCAAGCACTCCGTCAGGTTGGTCACGTTAATGCTCGAGCAGTTAGGGTGAAAGGACATGGTGGCAGTAGCTCAGATGGTTCGAGTTCTCCAGAAATTAGTTCAGATTTATCTGTAGATGTTAAATCGGATGCTTGTTTGTCCCACTTGTTTGTAATACGTTGGAACACGTTTTGGTTGTTAGAAAAACCAATCTTTTGTAGTGAAAACTGGAAGGGTGTATGATGGGAAAAGTTGTTTCTGAAATGTGGAGAGAGAGACTACGATTGGTACGGAAAACACACAACCAACAAATTGTTAAAGATTTTAATAGAAGATTTCTGCTCAGTCTGTTGTTACAAGTTAAAAGTGTTTCAGATAATTTTCTTCTTATATTTTGTAAATTATTCTGGTACTGTCAAAGTATGAGTCAAAATATTTCTTTGGAATCTCATATGATATCAACCCATAGAGAAACCCAGAGGTTTATATAGGGTAGAAATACTGGAGGTTAGACCAAGGTATTGTGAAAAGTCAATAAAATGTATCTAATTGTCTCGACAGCAACGTCAAATTGCGCGAGCTTGACTCCTGTAACGAGACATGACTTGTCTTGATTGCAGTCTTATTATTAAGGATATCTGAAACATCATGAAAGTTTCACATTTTTTGGGGACATAACCTCTTACGAGAGCACAAGTTTCATCAGCTGTAAGTCTTCTCAGCGACGATAGCATTACGTAACTACATAAATTATCGGTGAAAAATCTCAACTCAAGCACACATCGTAAACCTGTGGAGATGTGAGCGTATGCAGTAGACAATTACAAGGCTTTAGAATCCTTATGAAATTGTCAATTTTCATTTTGTAATTGCACAAAAAAATTTGAATGAACTGGAAAGCACATCCGTTATCCACAAAAAAATTCTTAACAAAAAAAACAAAAAAAAAGGCTCACGTGTACGCTATCGAGTATTTTATTTAGCTCGTTCTACCGGGACCTGACATTTGCGGCAGACGGCGAGCAAGAACTCCGATGTCATCACGGGGCATCTCCCCGAGACCCGTAAGTGACTTCATCTCCCACTCATGTCTCCGCAAGATTTCCTCAAAGTGGCCGGCACCAGTACAGATGAGCACTCTTACAGAAGAAAGAGTCCGGAAAGAAGGGGCATACAGTTTCCTTCTCCATTACATCCCCGTAAAAAACTAACAATCTCAATTACACACTTGCAAAAGTGCATAATGACACACACCCAAAAAAATGTATTCCAATTATCTTTTCCCACAAGATCGTTACTGTTGTATTAAACATAAAGTTAATACACTTAGTTTCCCAATTCTTGACGAAGGCGAGAAAAAAACACAGGCCCATTAATTGTGGTTTTATGACGATACACCACCGTTGGAAAGTCTCGTGAAAACTATTTCTACAACCAAAAATGTTAGTGACATAAAACATTACTAGAAGCGAAGATACAAAAAGTTTTCTCTTTAAAACAAAACCCCCAGAAGAAATGGAACATTTGACTGGTAAAAAAATGCTGTCCTAAAAGAAAAATTGGGGGGGGGGGAGGGGGGGGGGTTCTGCTTCGTGTTTATAGGTGTATAAAGACGAGTAAATGTTTAAGATTCATTGTTTTATAATCTGACTTAAAAAGTAGAAGGAGTGAAGACAAAAACCATCGTTAGAGCTTGAAGACATCCCGCTCCCCTCATGTACAGAGGGAGGGTTATATATATATATATATATATATATATATATATATATATATATAGAGAGAGAGAGAGAGAGAGAGAGAGAGAGAGAGAGAGAGAGAATATGCTACAGACCTTTCAGAATTCATAGTCAAACAATACTACACATGGGATGTCACGTTAACATTTTTTAGTCTATTGTCCATGTTAAAAAAAAGTTTGGCATGACAATTTTGTTTCAAACCTCAACGATTTTTCATTTCAGGCTTACCCCAAAGTACACTGAAAGAAAATTAGAAATAGATTTGGAAATATATTATTCTATAGCAGGTATAGCCAGTTGCTACAGGTGCGACTCACAAAATTCAGTTTGGTAAACAGTAGTACATCTTAAATGTTAACTGGAAGGAGTCCAAGGTGTCTGCTGAATTAAATAAATCCGAACTGATAACTTGAAGGAAAGGTTTAACCTGTAAGAGACAGCAAGTAGAACGGGCGAAGATGACGCTCACCGAGAAGGATAGAGAAACAATACGATAGATAGCATGAAAGTGATAAGGGCCAAAATAGAGCACTGGTAACTCATCCCAACAACTCGTAAAAACAATTAAAGGACCCACTCGGAACTCTTGCAATATTGAGCTCCCAGTTATAAACTACGGACTAGAACGGCGTAAGATATTAATTTTTCAAGTGGGCAAATTCAAAATGTCTTTTTGCACTTTCTAAAAATGAACGGGTCGTGTCCAGCTGAGTCGAGGTTTATAAGCGTTCAAATATTCTGATAGTCCGCGGGAGGCACTTTGATTACAGCGATGTGGTTGATGACCGCGTCGCTGCTCGGGATGGGAAAGCACAGGGAGGGGTATTTATTTTACCAGGCCATTACGCCGTAGACCAGATTATACGAGTGCTTCATTCAACATCTTGATGCCACGGTTTTGATGGGGTTGGTGTCAGCCAAGCCACCAAACCGTTTTTGAGACACGTAAATTTTATCCATTTAACATGTCTATCAATGTGGCCCCAATTCGTCAAACCCATGACTAATAGTGTGGGAAGAGACTGATTAAAACTCTTCTGAAAAACAAACTCTCTACCAGACGCTCCATTGGTGGCTTGCTTTTTGATGATTTTATTTCACTTTTATTGTCATTGGGTGTACGGAAGCGCTTATCCAATCTTGTTAATGAAAAAAAAACCTTACTTTTCATGTTTCAACTGTCTGACCTGAACATTAGCACAGTTGTCGAGAAAACCGAAAAGGAGTGGGGGTGGGGTGATGAGCATGCTCCTGGGGATAATCAAATATCCGACTTTGCCCTCAAATATGTACTTTGCCTGATTGCAAATGTCTTTAACGGCCCCTACACAATGTAATATATGTATAATATATATACGATGAATTTTACAATCCACACAATTTAGGCAAATTGGGAGGTTAGCTGTTCTTTTCCTGAAATCATGTGAAACAAAATAGGTTTCCGAGTTGTACGGTCAAGCACAAAAGACTTCGTCTCACGCTGTTGTTGTCAGGTTATAACTGCAAATAAGCAACTGATTGTTGTTTCTATTGTCGTTGAAATTGTAGCTGTAGTGTTGTTGTAATTCGTGTAGTTGTGTTTTGCAATTGCCTCTCTAAGCGTCTTGGTATTTGTCGTGTAGTGTTACTGTCGCTGCAGCTTCTTTGTTGTTACAGCTACTGTAGTAAGTCGTTATAGTTGTCGTTTCGATGACCTTATCAATACCTATTGGCGTCATTAATTATGAGGCATTTGTCGTTGTAATGGTTGGAAAAGACTCTTTAATTTTTCAAAGAGGAAATTAACAGGCTTCGATGAAGGTAAGAGTAAGGGTAGAAAAAATCTTTAGTTTGGATAAACCAAGGAAAGCTATGTCCTTTACGTGTGTATGGGTTACGGGTGCAATACACTTATCTTTAACTTTGAGGAACAGATGTAGCAGACGTTTATTTGTCCTAAAATATTGCATCCTACAAGATGGTGTACTCCCTGAAAATGACACTATTTACAAAAAATATACTTTTTCAAATAGTAGGCTTTATTTTACTGCCATTGCTGCCCGTATTTTCGTATACAAGATACGTCACTCTCTAAAATGGTATCCTAAGCGCAACTATACATTATTTATGCTCCCGGCACTGGCGTTTATGAGTAGATTTTGAAATCATAACATGGGGAAGTTTGTTCATTTAATGTGGGTGTTTTTATGCTTCTATTGAGACAATTTTGAATATTTAGGAGGCGGATTTTCGATCTCACCTGCCAGGATCAACAAGGGCCCCGAGAAGGGATACATTCCAGCAGAAAGACCGAGGTACGCTATAACAATATTCTCCTTTCTCGGCAATAGAGCTCGGATATCTTGCATACGATAGCGAAGCGCCTGGCCGCTACGCCACAGGCGCTCGTACATGCCGTATTCTACAATCTTCGGTGAAAACAAAGCCTGAAAGAGTAAGCAACAACAGGCAGACTGATCTGAGGTGTCTGGTTTAGCATTAGTCTGTCAATGGGATCAGAAGCGGACCGAAACTTGAGTCTTTAATGAAGGGCATTATGTCTCTGGTAATGTTTTTAATAAAGAGGGAAGCTTTAAAGTCTAAAGGAGAGTAGACTTTCTTGTTGACGATCTTAATAGTGAACCGAAAACAAACATTCTCACAGAACACATTCTGAGGGCATGGAACAGCGTGTTTATGCTTCTATTGAACCTGTTATATTTGAAGCTCAAGTTAAAGTGTTTATTCAAAACTATAACAGCGTATACCCTAACGGCTCACACGACAACACAGCTACTCCCATTACAGGCCTGTTTGTACTAATTAAAATACATATTACCATTTTGGTCCTGTTTTGGGTAAACATGGTTGCAGCCTGTTGGGTTCATTTTTATTATAATCTAATTTGTTTTCTCGTTCTGTGCCTTTTGACAAGTTCCTTTTTGCAAATGTCTGTGCTCGTGTTTGTGCTTGTGTATGTATGTGTGTGTGTGTGTGTGTGTGTGTGTGTGTGTGTGTGTGTGTGTGTGTGTGTGGTTTAGCAAACAGTGCAACAAATTACCAAGTGTTGTCTGAACTGTGTTCTCTATTACTCTGAAAAGTACAAAATATTCTGTTTGACTTTATAGGTTGACGCGTTTAACATTTCCAGTACACCATCTAGTAAGAGTTTGGGTTTAACACCCCTATCAATACGTTTATGTTGTTTAAGACGCGGGACCTCGAATTTTGCGTCCGTTTCCAATAGAACCGAGTCAAACGGATTGAGAGCCTTGAAAACTCCACAAAATGACACGAGTTCAAGAAAACCCAGTCTGAGACTTGAACCTCAGCCATCCACTGCTTAGTCCACCATGATAC